CAAGCAAAGATAAGCTTCCAGAAGTTCTGAATACCAAAAAGAAATTTTTGCATTGCTTCCAAAGAAAGACCAATCTCAGCATAACTAGGGAACTTGCTGAGGAAAACAGTAAGAGCCAGTGAAATATTAGTGATGTGGGTGTTAGGTTAGGGCCAGAGAGACCTGGGTTCAAATCCCAGCTGAGAAGATCACTAGCTTAGTTTGAACCAGTCACTATAAGGTCAACCTACTCAAAGCGTGATGATAAATGGTGTTGCAGAACACATGTATGAGCAATTTGGAGGTTAAAACAATTAAAAACTAGTAACAGTCCCTTAATCCAATTTGAATCTTTTTGGTCATGAAATCACAGCTTTCAAGGAATTTTATGTGTTTTATTTATTAATTTATATTTATATCCCACCTTTTTTCCTGCCAAGGAACTGAAGGTGGCTTACATTCTCCTCCTCCTCTTTATTGTATCCTTATGACTCTTCTGCGGCCAAAAACTAACTCAGAAACATTTTCGACTTAAAATAACCACAATATATTGAAGTTACTTATTGATGTACATAAACCCTAAATTATTGCCCCTCACCTGTCTGGGTCTCATGCAAAAGGAGGACCCTGCAGTGGCTCTGGGGCGCAGACACCTTTCTCCTCTGCAGTAGCAATGCCTTTCTCCTTAACCCCTAAAAGCACAGCCCTAGCCATGCTGAGAGTGGTGGGTCTTCCTTCTATCTAAACATGCCCAAGATCACACTCTAAGACATGCAGGGCCACCTGGGCCTGATCCTGTCTTACCAACTGAGCATTCGCTCTTTATATAACATTTGTGCTTGCTCTGGCTGCACTGGCATTTGCCGATGCTCCTCAAGACCTGCTGTGCTGGAGGGAGCTTTTGCAGGAGCTTGTTTTCAGCGAAGCATGTGTCATCTCTACCTGTTTACCTGAGAAGGAGTACGTCTTAAGCGTACTGTCTTAATTTGCATTCCTCTTCAATGAAAGAACACATCTCAAGATGCCAGAAAATATTTCTTTTTTAGCATTATTTCCTAGCAACAGGAGCAGTGTTACCTGCTTGTGGTTCTTAAGCTGCAATGGGCAACCTGTTTCAGTCCAGGGACTTCCCACAGGACCAAGTCAGCAAGCTGGATGATGTCAAAGGAGTGGGACCACCTGTTCCCCTTCAGTGCCACTGCCCTGCTCACTCTCTTCTCAGTTTAGGAAGAGAGCCATGCCTCCCTCTGCAAAGAGAAAGGGACGGGGGTCATGAGTGGCATGCAAAGGAAGGAGAAGCGGGAGCGGTTTGCTCAACTGGCATGTGCAAGCTGAAGCACAGCCTCTCGGAGGGATCACCCATGCTGATTCTTACCTGTGAGATTCCCCTGGACAGATCAGGAGTGGGCAGGCACAGAGGCTACCCGGCCCTCTGCAGATTGAATTGGGAACCTTTGAAGACCAGATTAGGTCCTGCAGGCCAGAGTTTCTTCATCCCTGCTTTGGAGAACTAAGTGTGACACAATAGGCAATAGCCAGTTAGAATCCTGTCCAAAATTAGCTGCATCTCTCTTGCAGAAGGCAAAGTGGGTGGCTGAGTGAAAATTCCTTGCAAAAAGGCCATCTGATAAGGAGATTAGCACTGATGCAGGATCTGACCCACTTTTGACTTCCCCGTTGGCAGATCAGCCTCACACTATGCTCCTGGGCTTTATCACTGTGGCTTTAAAAGAAGCTGAACTGGTGTGCTAAATAACACCACCGAGAAAGCGCTGTTTAGATGGCATTACAGGATAGACTGGGTCTGCTGTATTTATCAGCTAGCATAAAGCAGAGAGGTCTTTAATTAGGGGATGCTGCCTCATCATTGCCCTATAAAACAGCTAACTGGAATGTTCTTTGGTTCCTGTTTTTTTTAAAAGGGCAGCAATATCATAAAAGTAATTAAAACACTTGCCACATCTGCCTAGTTCCAATAAAGACCCACTTTTGAGCTCAACTGAATCACCCTGTTTACGAGCAGAGGAAACAAGCTGAGAAAAGCTGATGCACACATTTTAATACTGCCTAAACGCCTTAAAAGGATGATGATAGGTTTAAGTACTGTGCCTCTTCTGGCCTGAAGTTTTGCTTTCAAATACAAGCTGCAGTGACTTCCTTGGTTTTCATTGATTTCCTCCTTCATGGGCTTAGCTTAAATTTCCTTAAAATGGAGACAGTAGAGCCCTTAAGAAAGACTAGGAGTAAATGCAGAAGGATGGGGGGAAACAAATCAATTAGAAACCAAATTTCCGTAAATCCTTTCTGAAATGATATTGGCAAACTAAGCAAGACTATAGTGAAACCATGAAATAATCTTGCCTCGGTGGGTCAAAAGTACCAATGAATTGAAATATGACACCTGTAATCAAAAGATTAAACAGATCTGCTGTATTTGCAAGGCATGATGTGAACATTCCTGATGGGTTTGAAATATGGTGAACTTCTAATGCAGCATCTCAAGTATTTCTAAATACTTGAGGAGAACAGGCACCAAAAGCAAGCCCTCTGAGGATCAAGGACTTGATCAATCACCAGGCCTGATAGAGGTTGAAATCTTCAGTGCATTACCTACCTGGAGAAACTGCCACTCATTTGTGTACAATCTCATGCCATGAGAAGGAGAGGAAGAGGTTGTAGTATTTTGAACCCAATCCAATTCCATGTGTGTCCATTATTTAAGGACGGATCAGTCATGAGATAGAGATGCCAAGAAAAATGACATGAAATTCTGTGAAATCCATCTGATTTACTTTGCGGATTCGCTTTATGCTTTCCTGGCAGCAAGCCCCTTTGAACACAGGAGGGTTTGGTTCTGATTAATTTCCACAGAACCACACCGTCAACTCTTCCTCTGATGAAGACATTTGTACCTGGGTCCAGGAGGTTATCAACACCTTGCTAAGAAAGGGAGTGATCCCAGGCTCTCTGAAGGAAGCTGTGATAAAAGACCACTCCTTTGAAAACCACACCTGAGCCCAGGGGCCATTGTAAATTGCAAACTGGTTGCCAACATCCCATTTTTGGGCAAGGAACCTGAGCAGGTGGTGGCCAAGCAAGTCCAGGCACTCTTGGATGAAACAGATTATCTAGATCAGTGATGGCAAACCTTTTAGAGACCAAGTGCCCAAACTGCAACCCAAAACCCACTTATTTATCACAAAATACCAACACTACAGTAAAACCTGAAAACTGCAGTTTTAGTTTAGAAAAAAACAACTTACAGCCAGTCCAACCAAATATCTATCTATCTCCTTGGCAACAGACTGACCGGCCGTGCGAAAGCTCAGATGAGTTGCGTCTAATGAGTCGTGGCTCGTGACGTCATCGCCTGGCGCCGCTACTCCTTTCCGAGCAAGCACATGCCCCTATGTGCGCTATTATACAATGCTTGGCTGCTGGGGCAATGCTGGCTCGACTTGGCTCACGTGCCGAGGGGGTTCTGTGTGCCCGCTGTGGCAAGGGTGCCATAGGTTCACCACCACTGCCCTAATCCTACCCTGGTGCACTCCCCTAGACCAGGGGTCGGTAACCCGCGGCTCCATTGCTCACATCACAGCCGCCGCCAATCCACGGCCCGTGCCGGCGCAGCGCTTGGATAAATCCAAGAAAAATTTCTGAAGAAAACCAAATGTTTAATGATACTTGGGCAGATTCATTTGCTTTTACTGCTGACGAACTTATGGGGTTTGCTGTTTAATGCATGCAGCCCTTTAGCACTGACTTTGACTCTTCAGGAAGCTGTTCTCCTATTCAAAATATATGAAAGGAGTCATAATAGTTTATAATGTAAGATTAAAAACAACAGTTTTTAGTGAATGAACAAGAGCTGCAGCTCAATCATAATGAAGATATGTATAATATTAAGGTAAAAAACGATATATGCAGTATCTTCATTTTAGATGTCAAAAGGGTTTTGTGGCTCCCGGTGTTTTCTTTTGTGTGGGAAAGGGGTCCAAATGGCTCTTTGAGTGTTAAAGGTTGCTGACCCCTGCCCTAGACCTAATACAGGGCTAAAGTTCCAGTGAAAATAGGACAATTTTGAAAAACCCTTCCTTGAGCAGCTTTTTCTGCAGAGCTCATCATTTCTGCCCATTCTAAACACATTTCAACCATCAAAAGCATGCCAGGAACCTCATTTTTCTAACTCTCTGGGCACACAGTTCCACATCTTGTTTTCATGTAAACCAGATGAGGCGGTTTCCATTCTGAATCATTGGATTCAATTTAAGGTGCTTGTGTTGACATATAAAGCCCTAAAGAGCTTGGAACCAGGATACCTGAAGGACCACCTGGTCCCATATGTACCTACCTGATCCATAAGATCAGATGAGGAGGCCCTCCTGAAAGAGCCATCCTTCAAGGAGGTATAGCGGATTGCAAATAGAAGAGGGGCCTTCTCAGTAGTTGTGATCCATTCACGGAATGGCCTTCTTAAAGTAGTTCATCTTGCGCCATGTTTACAATCTTTTTGGTGCCAGCTGAAGTGTCGTCTTCTCTAGACATTTTAACAACTGATGTTGTTTTATGTGAAAGGTTGTAATACACTTAGAGACTCTTCAGACTAGTTATGCCAAATATAAGTTGAATAAGTAAATAAATAAACTGCCTGCAAGATAGCTAAGGCCTATGAAGCTGAGTTTTCCTCTGAACAACAGAGAGGTCAGTCTTTCTGGCGAGTTCTTTGAGTTCCCCTCAAATGATGTTCTTGCCATTCTTCTCTATCCAGTCCCAATGGCATGGATTGTCCTAACAATGTACAGATGCACACCTTCTTCTACAGATGTCACATAGGAAGACCCATTACTGTGTCCACCTTGTATGATTCTGAAAGCAATTAGTGAAGTATACCCTTCCCATTCCAACTGATGGTCCCACTTTACCACCACATTGAACAAAATTGCCCTAAACTCCAAGACAGAGTTCCCTGGAAATAAGTGTGAAACTAATTTTACAAACGATACATTATGCTCCACAAAAGGTGGCTTTAAATTAAATTTATTAAATTATTTAACACTGAACTGCAGTATCATTTAGTCAGGAAAGATACTTCCAACATTCTCTGAGGGATTCGAACCCTTCTGGAATCATAAGCTTTGGGAGAAAGGTCTCTCTTATCCTGTCACCCATGAGGGACAGTCTGGATTTAGGTGACAAACCAGCCCCGGGTCAGGACCCCGGGCATCCCATGGGCCACGACCCAGGCAACCCAGCCTACTCAACCACTTCTGAACAATGGATGCAATGGCCCAAGCCATTGGGGGTTGTCATTCCCAGCAGAGCCCTGGAAGCTGGGCACTTGCAGTAATGGCTAAGGCACGTTGGCTGTGCATACAAGGTGTGGTGGCAGTGTACGGGGGACTCATCCAGTAATTTAACTCACCCTGAATTCTCCCCCAATGGATGAAACAAAAGGCTCCAGACCTAACAGGAAACAATCCAGACCCTTTAACCAGCAATAAGCACACTTCACTGGTGGAATAGCAACTAATTTTAATCCCAACGCTGACATTAAAAAAAATTGGGGGTGGGGACTGATTCCTGCACAGTTTTCCCAGATATGGCAGAAATAAATGATATGCCTCAGTTAGAAATTTTGCATGACCAAAGAGGTCATTACGTAGATGGATGCCGCGTTTCGGGCTATTAGCTCTACAGGTTTCGCATTTATAAGAAGCAGGATTTTGAGGCATGTAATGGCAGAGCATTTCTGTTTTTCCTTTTTGCGACTCGCCTTAACTAACTGGACACTCCTGTGCTCCTTTAAAACACATAGCTCCATTTTGTACTATGGTAGCCCCACTTCTTCATTCTTTTAATCTCAGTGTTGGGATCTTCCAAGCACTGATCTGATGTCCCAGAGCAGGCAAGCACCTCTGAGCTGGGGCCTGTTCCTGAAATGCCTGGACCACCACCCTTCCCTGCCTCTTCGACATTCACCCCATGTGCAGCCCCCTGAGAAGAGCCAGCATTCCGAACACTTGTCTGCTAACCGTGGAAAGAATGGGGGAAAGTGCTATACAACGTCTGTTCCGCCAGTGGGGAATAACACAACATTTGCTACTTCTCTCGATAAATGGACACATGCTGTCTCACTATGCCGTCTTCTCCCCATTCCTTCTAGGCTCAGTTTTGCCAGGAGAGGTCATTTGTCCTGTTGTCCTATACCTGCTGGGAACTAATTCCCACATACTGGAGGAAAGATGCCTACAGCCTTGGGATACTGGACAGGGGGCTGGCACACACAGATCCCCTTCACAGAAGGAAGATAGACTTTCAACCACATGTCCAGAAAAACCAAATGTTTGGTTCCACTCCACTGTTTTTAGTATTTAGACTGCAAACAATACTGTAGGGTATTCTTCCTCATGCCACAATATCCCCCAAAATGACACAACAGTGGGATGAGAAAGCAACATTGTTATCAGCTCCCTCCATATGTAAGAATGGTTCTCTTGGGCAACCTAAACTCTTCTGCTGGACAGGGAGACTTGAACTAGTCTTTTTGCCTCATCTTCATGTTAACAGAAAGGGAAAAGGTGGCAAACAGCTAACAATCCTTCATTGAACTGCCTCCTGCTCCATACGCTGTCACCTGAGCTGGTTGTAACTTAAATAGAAAAGTAAACAGCCACCACTGTATCTCGTGGACTGAGAAGGCAAAAGTGGTAACTGTAGCAACATGCCAGGGAGGGATCACCTGACCCCCGTGGGAATGTTTGTGGGAAGGCCCACCATCGGCACTGGCACTGGCCCCACACAAGGCGCATCTCTGCTGCTCCTGATGAAGTTTCTAAGCGTCCCACTGTGAAGCCAAGGAACTAATGGACTGTCCAAATCAAGTCACCTCTGCAGAGGACAGTGTCCATCTGCCTCCAATGGCAGTCACGGCCATCCAGCCTCTTCCCAGACTATCTCTTCTCTTAACTGGCGGTGCATCTAAGAAGAACTCATCTCTACCTGGGCCTGCACGTCATTCGAGCAAAGTTGCAGGGCCTCTGCACCAGTGGGAAGGGACAGCTATGTGGGAGATGCTACCAGCCACAACACATTCTGGTTGGTCCAGCAGCCGGCTGAAGGAGGCGGGTGGTCTGCAGTCCTTATTCCATCAGAAGTAAGTAAGGTTCTTGATGAGTCCCAGTTCAAGCATCTTTTTTATTGCTAAAGCCTCTTGTGAAACATTGTGCCCTGAAGACTGTAAAAGAAGACAACAGAAAACCCATTAGGCCATTCAACATGCTGGCTCTTGAGCTCTAAATAGAACCTAAAAGAGATGGAGCTATCCATAAGGCACTGTATTATAGAACTGGAAGGGATCCTGGAGGTTATCCAGTCCAACCTTCTGCTCAGTGCAAAATCTACACTATACGATGAAGCTACAGCATCTGTCAGTCTCTGATAAATGACTCCCACCCCCAAGACAGTCAGTTTCATGGCTAAACAGCCCCTATAGGACAGAATGCAGCAGCTCAGCAGCCCACTGGAACACCTAGGAGTGCTCCCATGACACCTGTCTTGAAAGAACTTACTAGGCTGTACACAAGTATTACTGAAAAATCAATCAATACATGAAATTCATGCTCAGTTGAATGTTCTTCTCTGACTCTATGGCCATCATTGGAGAATCATATGCTGGCTTAATAAGCTGAAATATAAACAAACCTTTTGCCTGTGGATGCAGCTCACTTACTCCTCCTTTGAATGAATGGGAAATCTATGCTTAATTGGAACCACCCTATCTTATTTGCAAACTATTAAACAAACCAGGATGACTTCAATTAACCATAAATTTCCAAGTACATCTAAATCAATAAACTATGGTTAATGGCTTTGTAACAAGCTAGGTTATTTAACCATGATTCAAAGTCTGCTATGCTCATGGTTTGTTTATTTGCATCCTTTTCAGGTCATCCTTTTTCCTAATGTGGCTTGTATCAACCAAATAAAGAGAGAGACAGTTAGAAGAGACAGGCCATGCCATCAGGCTGACAAGCAAAAACAAGACACACATGGGAAGGGACACATGTTCCAACCCACTAAACATAGTGATGGATATGCAGCACTGGGAAATTCATTCTGTTTGAGCTTAGACGACTTTTGACACATTCCCAAACTTATGGCCAAAAGCAGGCTGAATTGGGGGACCAGGAGCTGGCATCTCTGAAACCACTTAAACTGTTTCAAGGGCAAACTTGGAGCTGAGAACTGCATATTTCTAGTGTAAGTTGTGAAATCTGACAGGTTAGATTCAAATCATGTTGTGATATTTCACATGGAATGTACAGAAGCATCCTCCTCTCATTGCTTATGCACACACGCCACCTTGAATTTTCTGGCAGCTAATTTCAGAAACTTCCCTGACCAGAAAAGAAAAGAAAAAGCAAAAGAAAGAAAAAAGATTGTCACAATCACAACCTGCTTTAAAAACAAAAGGTCTCTGTGCTGGCGTGAGGCCCACCAGAATGAGACGGTGCCAGTGCAGCACTGATGGAATGGAATCCATTTACCCCATTTGAAAAAATCCACCAATTTCTTACATATCCCTAAGCATAGCCTCCCTGTTTGGATGAGATGGGATGGCATACTCCAAAGTCTTCTTAAGAGACAGGTGCTAAGGCAAAAGCTTGTTACACTCAGCTTATTAAGCCAAGGTATGATCATCCAAACTCTTCTTTGAAAAAGCAGCTTTGCTTATTCTCCTGACAAGGGAGGAAGCGATTACTCACAGCCATCGACTTCACTGTAATTTGCTCATAGTAATGTATGGTCTGCTTCTTGTTGGCAGAATCAGGGTATCCAAAGCCTGCAATGTGTACCACGTCACAAAAGTGCAATGCTAAAGTGATGGCAACTAATCCCGTAGTTGGTTTCTAGAGGAAGACAGAACAAGTGTCAGTTTACAGCTTTCCTATAGTGAAGTCCTGCTTTGTTCAGCATTTGGAGAAAATAATGAGGTTAGGTCCACACGGCCTAAGATTTTACTCTGAATTATTGCCTTCTTGAGTTCTGAAAGGAAGATCTAGAGTTTGCAGAATCCCCCCAGCCAAAACTTTACACTTTTATCTAAACTTGTATAGGATTGCACCCTAAGTGTCTCAGAAACTTAGGCCCAGATGTGGCGAAACCTCATGTCACTGTTTTCCTACAGGAAATAAGAGTAACACTGGGGAAACAGAACACACACATACTCTTGCCATGATTTAAGAAAGTCTGTGTGCATTTTTTGCCTTGTATTTGAAAAGAAAACCTGGAGCCTTCCAAAATTTCCAGAAATCATTGGCAAGTCTCAGCAGAAAAAATATTTGGTTTCCTTCCTTTTCCTTCATATGGGTCTCTGCCCTGACTTCCATCCATGAGCTCTTAACATAAACTGAACTCTAGCAATATGATTCTAATTAAAGACATGTTTATTGGCTTTCAGGAAATAACAATTATCCCTCCTTTCTGGAAGGAACATCCTGCCTTTTATTATCACAATGAAGTTGTGAGGTAGGTTAGGACTACCTAGAAAGATGGTGACTGACACAACCTCATGGTTAGTAGAAATCTGTGAGCTTTGTGGTTTACGCCCCACATTCCAGTCATTACACTGCACTGGCTTTTCTGTGTCATGGTAAGACAAGTCTGCCCAGCCCATCATAAGTGTTTGAATTAAGTTTGCTGGCCTGACTTATGCGGAAGGGCATTGTCCAGGCATGAAAGACATTTAAACCATTTCACTCAAGCCCCACTTTATCTTTGGAAGATTTCATTTTCAACCAGGAAATGCCCTGTCTCAAGTCACAGTCCTAAGGACTATGGATTCACTCTAAAAGTAAAACAAACGGACTTAATAACTGGATGCTCAAATATTTGGTTTGCACAACGTTACTGCAGAACTTTGGAAAGTTTCCCTTTTAAGAGAAGGGAAGAGAATAAGAGAATTTTACAACTTTGGCAAGCAGCCTCACAAAGATAAGAACAGGAACTTTTTCAAGGAAGTGGTACCTCAAAGACTCAAAACTTGGCAAACATGGGCAGAGCTGAAACCTGTTCAGTCCAGAATTTAGGAGCTGGAGAACAAAAGGAAGACAAATGTTCTGAAAGGAGATGAACTAAGTCCTAGTTCTCTCTGGAGTAGTAAGCTCTATCTGGTTTGAGGCAGGATATAATTGGTCATATTTTGTGAGCAAAAATGAAATTATGCATCTTCAGCGCGCACACTGCCTTAAGCCAAGCTACCTCCTACCGCTTCCACTGACTTTAAGATATAAAGGAAGAGGCCTGGAGATTGCCTGTGCCACATGTGCTTTTGCTAATTAATCAGGTGATTAATCATGGAAATGATTACAATTTGATTGCCCAAAGACTAAGCCCAACTTCATTTGACAACTAAAAGAGAACAAAACTATTTGCTTTCTTTCAGAGTAAGCTTTCAATCTCCTATGCAAACCTTTACCCCTTCCTTGCTTTTGCTCTTTCACTTGCTTGCCCCTCTTACCTGTTTTAACCTCCCCAGCTGCTTCACAGGAAGGTGAAGCAGTTTAGCAGCGGTGATTTCCATAAAATATGGGTTAAGAATCCGCACTTGTTCAGGTTTTGCATCCCAAATTAAGGGAGGCTGTTTCCAGAAGCCCTTTCGAAGCTGGAAAGAGGAGAAAAACAGGGGGTCAGTCATGTGCTCTTTACTCATAAGGACCATAATGAAGCATGATAAACAAGCTGGGTTAAATGAGGAGAAAGTGAGAAAACTGAAACTGAAAAGGCGAAATGAGCTTCAGCGGGAGTTCTGACGGACTGCATTTCAGCTGAGCCTCACTTTCTCTCCCTCATTCTCTTTCTTTGCATGTGCCTGGGGAGGGCAGTGCCCCTAAGAGAATGCCAAGCATTCTTTCTCCCCTGAAACTACTATTATTTTCACCCATACGCCCACCCTGCAAGATTTGTCATTACTATTCTTATTCTAGAAGTGGGAGAGAGAACTACTTGTTCGTAGCTCTCACTTCGACCATGGCAAAAATGCATCTCCATTATTGGCCCCCCCAGATCCAAGACCAACACAATGACTAGGCTAACAAAACACAATAAACCATGGTGGTTTGTCACGTCTGCATTTGAATCCAGCTAGTGTGGTTTGTGAATGGTTAAGCCAGTCAGTGGTTAACAGAACCATGTTTTCGTATCATGTGGCCATGTTTCTCAGTTCAGAAGGGAGAGCTTGTGGAGCAGAGGACTTCATTTTCTCACGCACTGGAACCCTGGAGCTCCCCTCACCCCCTCCCTCTACAAGCTAAGCACTAGCAAGAGGGTACTGCCATATTTGTTTTTCCTGATACTTCAACCCATCCCCAAAACTTACTCTCTTCTTGTCATGAAGAATTGTCTCTACCCACTGGAAATCCATGGGTTTGAATGCCACCAATACCAGCAGTGTGTTGGGGTCATTTTCGGTTTTGGGGTTGAAGTGTGCTGACTCCGGGTAGAAGAGACGCATAGTGGTCTTAGAGCCCACGTCTTTTTCGTAACCATGGACTGGTGCATTGTTCAATCTGGCAAGCAGGAAGAGAGAATTATACAATCAAGCCAGAGCTTTATAGACACAACACCTCACCATTTTGGACACGCATGTGGCAGGCATGTCATAAGAGGAGCCGGCTGGAGCCATGGGTCTGACTAGACAGCCCAGGAGACCCCTACTGACTTGCTCTGTTTCTATGTTTCTATTTTATGGTGATGTCACTCAGAATCAGAGATTCACCGACTGACAGTGACAAATGTTATCACAGAGCAGTAGAGCAGACTTTGTACACTCCAGATGTTTCAAACCCCTATAAATCTCCTTGTACTGACTATGCTGGCTGAGGCTAATAAAAGTTGTTGTTGAAAACTGTCACCAGGTTCTCTGACCATGCACTACAGGACAGGTAGTCTTCGCTACCCTTCTTTGTGAATTATCTCTAGACGTTCTTTCAATGGAAGCTTAGAACAACTTATAGTCAAACAGAGGCGTTAGTCTCTTTCTTGGTTCTTCAAGCAAGAGGAAAGCCATCATGCAGGCACAATCGTAGGTCTTTCTCCAAGTCTTATTACTTGTTACACGGACAACTGGAATGTGATTTAAAATGGCATCACATTCTCTCCATTCTGTAACATAATAGGAATATAGACCAGGAGCCAACTTGCCCAATATTGTCCGCACTGACGGAGAGATGCTGTCCAGCATTTCAGGCAGGGCATGGCGATACTTGGAGCAGGACTCCACCATGCAAAGGAGACCCTCTGCCTACTGAGCAATGGACCTTCCCTTGAGCTATGGTCTTCTCTATAAATAGTAAAACACATGCCATGTATCCTAATAGCATTCCATTGTGCATCTCTTTCTCCTCTGCTCCACGTCAGTTACTGCCACAGGCATGGGCAAAAAAGAAAAAACGCACAGCATAATGGTCTCAGGATACAAGCACATCATTTGAAGGTGGGAGATTTTGTATGAAGATTGCAGGCAACCCCTTATTTCTCACATGACTTCCAAGCTGCTGTGACCTCACATTCCAGAGCGGAGGCAAAAATCTCAAGGAAACTTTTTAATGCAGCCATTTCAGTAATTAGCTATGCACTTTTACAGTCCTAATACTGAATTACAGTTAACGGATTACAAGGTAGTTCCTTCCCAAGAATTGGTTCATGGGCTTCAAACTTCCAAGTCCCAAAGAATTCACTGCTCCAGATGAAGTAGGAAGCCTTCAACATTACCAACTCTCTTGCTTCCACAAAATCCCTAGGGACTCACAACCTAAACTCTGCCCCTTCTACTCATTTAGGCAATCCCTCAAACAGTGGTTCCCATATTCCAGATTCCACAGTACTTTCCCTCCAGAAGGAGGAACTGCCAATGGACTCTAGAGTTGCCCACAGCAAAGAGGCCAAGTCACAGAGCTCCAGCCCTTCCAACAAGCTGCAGGGCTTCCTATTCTGGAGGGCTGAAAGCTGGGCTACGGTCTGCAATGCCCTGGGGGGCACACACTGTGATGTCTTGGGACACACAAAGTCCACAGCAGGTCACACTAGCTTTAGAGGAGTGACCCTAAAGATGTACAATCCTGGAGGCAAACATGGCTCTCAGGCAGTTGCTGTGGCTTTCCAAATGCCCTTGCCCATCCCACTTTAGTTGACAGCCCACCAAAGGAGACCCCCTTCTGCTGCCCTGCTCCAATGGATGGCCTTCATGGCCAAGCAGCAGGGGCCTTCATCAAGGTCAGGTCTCCCAGCAGCAGGAGGTGGGCTCGCCCCACCCCAGCTTGTCAACCAGTGAAAGGCACAGCAGAAACTCTGCCTTCCTGTGATGGGGCCTTATTCTACAGCTCCTTCCTCTGACTAAGACACAGTTTCATAGGCTGAACCTGCCTGGGACTGGAACCAAGTGCTCCCCTAAGAGAGTCATGTGCAAAGAAATCCATTTCATACAAGAGAATCAGTTACTCTGCAAGTTAAAACACCAAACTTCTGCATCCCCGTACCTGATCACAATATCATATTTATTAATTGTTTGTCCCATAGAACTATTTCTGAGCCGGTGTCCATTCCCTACTACAGCACATCTCCGGCATTTCAACCTGCAAAAGAGGGAAAACTCAATTACACACACGCACAACAAGCTGAGAGCCAGTGTGGCATGGCAGTTAGTGTTAGACTTGAGTCCTGGTGCCCACTCAGCTACGACACTCAGAGGGTGACTTTGGCGCAATCACTGACTCTCAGTTTAACCTCACAGGATTGTTGTGAAGATCAAAATGGGAGGAGGCTCATACAGGCCCCCTTAGGAGGAAATACGGTGGAATATACATAAACTAAACTAAATAAACCCGAAAGCTGTAATTATCTGATAATCTGTTTTGGATAGGAAAAGCTCCTTAAAGTTTCTCATTTGGCAATGTTCACTACACAGATAACTAGTTCCTTTCCTCAGATAAGCTCTGCTCCAGCTGGGGCTGGCTGGCTATGCCTCTGGCCAAGGGTCCAACCCAATGCAGGGAGCATGCTTGGCATGCAGGAGGCCTCGGTTCCATCTTCATCAGCTCCCACGAACAGGAGCCAGGTAGCAGTGGTGCGGTGAAGCAGCTTTCTTTGTCTGAGGTTTTGGAAATCTGCATCCAGTTGGACTAGACAATACTGGACTATTTTTTAATTTAGTGTATTTGTGTTCCACCTTCTTCTGGCAAGGAACCCAAGGCAGCATAGACAGACATTTTCTCCACTGGATCCTCACAACAACCCTGTGAGATAGGTGAGGTGGCGAGTCAGTGACTGGCCCTTACTCACCCACTGAGCTCTGTGGCTGAGTGGGGATTAGATCCCAGATCCCCTGAACCCCAGTCCAACACTTAAACCATCACACCACTGTTTCTAGCACCAAAATGGGGATTTAACTCGCGTCTAGCAGGCTACTAGCTTGCAAACAAACCTCACCTTGGCTCACTCCCACTTATGTCATTTAACTCAAGCCATGGATGACTGACAGCATAAATTCTTAGGTCCAAAACCAACACTTGCTATTTTCTTATGGATTTTAAACATTTACTTTCTCCCTCTAAGTGTCATTATTGGCTTCCAGAAAACTGACTTCATTTTCACACAGGTGTATGTCTGGCTTGATCTTGGTGCCAGGACTTCATGTCCCAAAGCAAGAAGCATCTAGAGTGTGTCACATACTTGATCAAAAGCCAACAGCCAGGAACACAAAATGGCAGGAGCTGCTGTGCCCTTCCATCTGCCCAAGTCTCCTGCAGGAAGTCTGTGCACTGCAGGAAACTAACAGGCGAGCAAAGATTGGCCATGGGACATGCAGAAGTGGTCAAAGAACCAAAGCAGAGAGTGCAGCTAGCCTAGGTGTGGACACGAATACACTGGCAGGTTGACACTGAGGGGCACTTTTAGGGGCTTGTATGCAGGTTAACAAAGTGACCAGAGAATTTTTGTTTTTTTCCAAGGGTTGCCTTTTTCCTACAGATACTTAGAGACACAGAGGGACAGTGGGTGCTTCCAGATGGAGGGCTCCTAGTCCCACCAATCCAAAGGCATTGTGCAGCTTCTCTGTTTTTTCCTCCTTAATCCATTTTTGTGGTGCAAAAATGAGCTGGAAGGAACTGAGGTATGAAAGACAATGTCATCAAGACCCTCTCTAAATTCAGTGAAAGATGGCAGAATAAATGCCTCATCTGGAAGCACCCAGCTCAGTGATGGAGCTTGTGAACTGCGTGGAGAAGGTCTCAGATTTATTCTCAAATCAGAGGGATTGTGGATGATGAGACTCTTTTCTATCTGAAATTCTGGAGATGTTCATCAAAACAGACATTGCAGAGGGCTTGATGCACAAAAAAAATTGCTCCTCCAAGCTTTTTGCAATACATTTTGAAAAAAGGATCACCGTTTGTGGCATGCACACAGGTAAAACGTTATGCAAGTGGCTAGGGGCAGAAACACACACAAACAAAACCTGAAACAGATGCCAAGATAAGCAAATTAACTCCCAAAGGATGAGAAGTCTGCTACTTCCAGTACTCTTAAACATTTTTTCCAGTTTCATAGCCTTTTGGGAGTCCCCAGCCTTTTGAACCTGTGGGCACATTTGGGAATTTCAGGAACTGCTGTGGGCACCACTACAAAATGCCCCCCACATGGAAGATGTGGCAAGCGGCAAGCAGCATAAGTGGCTACCATGGGGGCTAGCAAGTCAAAAGTGACTTAAATGGGTAGGGAAGGAGAGAAGTGAGGCTTGGAGGAGGCATTAAAATGTTTTAATAAATAAAATAAATAAAAACTGAAAAGGCAAGAGAGTGATGAGGAGAGAGAGAGCTTGGAGGATATGAAAAACAGTGCATTATAGAAGCAGGAGGGCTAGGATAGCAAAGGGCAAGGGAAGAAAAAGAGCAACGCTACAGGCGGTGAGAAAGAAGACTAGCAAAGCATTCATTAAATATTTTTTAAGGGGCAGGGAGGGAAAGCTTCGTGGGCACCATCGCAGGGGCCACAAGCACCACACTGGCAAGCCCTGTGCTAGAGAGAGGCATGCTACCTTCATGCTTGCTTGCCCGCAAACCCCTGCAGCACTTTGGTGTTAGAGTTCAGAAGAGCAGCAGCATTGAAGGACTTGCCACCAACTGGCTGCCTTCAGGACTAACAGTGGGCAGCTTCTGAGACCTTCCTCTGCTTCGAAGGATACCAATGCACACTACCCAAAAACTAAAATACTGTGGGGTAGAGTGCTCCTGCTCAGTATTCCAGGCAGTCAGCCATGCCCTCTTTCAACATGCAACATTTAATTCTTTGCACAAAAGTTTTCCGCTCAGCAAGCTGAAAGGTCAGGCTGTTTTCTACAGCCACTGAGCATGTTTAATCCTCAGTGGATTTTGTGTTAGAGCTCAGGGAATTCTCTCTTCAATAGCATACAGATGGAGCAAAATGTGCTCTTCCTACACTTTGTAAATTGTCAGGTGCCTTTTGTTCCATCACCCATTCACTAGCAAAATTGGGTTTTGCAGAAATGCATTTGTATACCTTTGCACAAATTCAGAGTTGTGCAAATTCGCAATCTCAAAATTGCAAAAATCCCGGCTCCCTCCACAATGCATACTTTCATGCTTTAGCCTATGGAGAAAATATGCATTTTTATATGACTAAATTTAAGCAAATGTCCGTAAGTCTGCACATGACTCAGCGAAAGCTGGTCCAACGCAGAATCTGTGGAGGAGGGTCTTAAAATCTGAACTACTTTTAGTCCAGTGAGATTTATCCAACTCTTTTGAACTCCAAAATGAATAACCACCAAAGTGAATAATTTCCTGGGTGGTGGTGCTGAAATTACAGCAGTAACAGCACCCAAAGTCTGAACCTCAGAAAGGATAAAGATGACTTAGACTTGTCCAGTTCAGAACTGTTACCTCAAGATGAATGGCAGCCTTCAAGAGTCCCCGGCACACATGGTCCTTTGAAGTGAAATTACTGGGGACGAAGTCTGGGACCTTCTGCACCCATGAGTTTCACCACAATGTTATTGCCCATATGCCAACTCTTAGTTTTCTGCCGTGCTGTACCCTCGTCCAACCAGCCCCTCTGATTGCTGGTGGTCAGATTCTCTGGATCCTTTTGCTGCTACATGTATGCTTGAGTACCTACATCTATCTGGCAAGCACCACCTGATCATGAATTCATCCTGAAGAACAAGAGTAGGAAATGTGATGGTCCATGTTCTCCAGCTTCCAATTACATAAGAAGGAGACAACCAGGCCAACATGGCTGGACCGATTCCCTTCCAAATGTCCCCAAGTTGAGAGCAGCACAGGCAACATCTACAAATCTTACATCTTAAGGAGGAAAGCTGCATGTGAACCTGGTATTACCTTTGTAAACTCTCAGGAAGAGAGTAACTTGTGATTGCCAGGACTCGAAGGAGAATTTCCTCTGCAAAGGAACAAAGGCAGTCAGTCAAGCAGGCTGGTCTCCATTAGCTCAGTTCAGACAATTCCAAATGTTACAATGTTAAAGCATGAGAAACGTTTAATCAGATCAGGCTGAAGGTCCCTCTGGTCCAGTTTTCCAGATGCCTCCAGGATCCCCACAACTAGGGTTCCATTAACACAATGTGGCTAATTGGCTGTTGCCTGCAACATACTTTATTCTGTATCTTTTATTTAATTTTGCTAGAATTTACTAAGATTGTTTTAAATGGTTTAACCTATTATTTAATGTTATGGCTATTTTTATTATTGATTTTATGTTTACTGTTGTTTTTACACTGTATAGTGTCTAAATGTATTTTGCAAATTATGTATTATGTACCGCTTTAATTGTTGCTGAAATACGTGTTTGCCGCCTAGAGAGCCTTATGACTAACAGGGCAGCATACAAGTCAAATGAAGAAGTAGAGAAGCCAGCTCCCTTCCTCGGACTTGGCATTCCAGGGCACACCAGTTCAGAACATACAACCTCAGGGCGTAGCAAAGCTGCCTGAGCAAAAGCAAGGGAGGACAGTTCACCGCACCTTGCTAAACAGCTATGCAAAGGACATCCAGCAAGCAGCACCCTGTGCTGCCCAAACGGGCATCCAATGAGTGGCTCATCTCAAGGGAACACTTGCAGCCCTCTGATATCCGCTCTCCAGCATGAAGGTGGGGACACCCAACATTATGAAATCCCCGATCTGATACACCCCAGAGGTTTTGTGCTATACCTCCTGGTACTCCGAAGCATTGGCCATGCTTACTGGGGCCAATAAAAGCTGGAGTTCAGAACAGAACATTTGGTTATGGAAGGCTGCAGTGAATAAAGAGCGGAGGGAGTGATGGGACTTGGTTTTGGAGGCCTCTTTGGACACTGTGATTAGGCACAGACACATTGAACAAGGGAACAGCCTGCACAGCCAATATGACCCACACTAGACAGAGCATGTGATTTAATGACTTGTCAGGAGATAAATTAGAAATTTAGATCATGTAATTCTGATTTGAATAGAAATTCTGTACACACAAATACATATAGCAGGTGCTTCTCTGTTGTGGCACCTCACTGTGAAACAGTTGTTGTGCAAAGACCTGACTTCTGGACATACACAAATTTGATAGCAGGCCAAAACACAGGTTCTATCATGCAAGAAGCAATAAAGTTTCTAAACTGGTTGGACAAATGAAGTGAGGTTGGTGACTACTATGTGGAAGGGCCTTCTCAGTCGTGGCACCCTGATTATGGAATATCCTCCCTAGCAAGACTTGCCTGATGCCTGTATAGTGGTATTTTCAGAGTTTTTAAAGAAATCATAATATTGACACTGGCTTTTCTTTGGTTTTATTCCATAGTTTTTAAACTTGTGGTTTAAACTTTGACATGTAAATGTTTTATAGTGCATTTTGTCATGTTCTATCACGTGGCATTAATTGCTGGCAGCTTTAGCAATTGGATTTTATGGAAATGTAATAACTAAAGAGGTTTCAACTACATATAGTCATGCATACAAATCAGGACCTTTTGTGTGTGCTTTTTTTTTCTCTACTTTCACAAAACATTTGACAGGTCTCCTGGTCAATGATTCAAATAGTGAACAATCTTGCCAGTCCCACCATCTTTCAAAAATCTGCCTGAATTTTTCCTTCTGATTTTTAAAACACTTCCATTCTTAAGTAAAATAGAATCAATATTTCATATTCAAAAACTGCTCTTGTATGGGGGAGAGAAAAGCCAATTGATAGATCAGATTATCTATCAAATGATAAGCATCTTTGTGGGGTTTTACCATGAAAGTCAATCTACACTTTCTGGAATGGATGGATGGGGACAATATTTCTGCTGAATCTGAATAGGGGAGAAGATAACTTTCCTCATGTGGTGTGTTTTCTACTAAACATCCAAATGCATCTTAGAATCCAAAAGCTAGTAATTAGCTGAATTCTCACTAACGTTTCTTAATCTTACTTGTTCTTACTCTGCATACAGCAAAAAACATCTTTGCCAAGCCTAAGCTGCCCTGGTTTCTTTAAATGCTTTTGATTTGCCTTGCTCAGTAGAATTTTCTTTCAATATCTTGTTTTATGAAATTTCCACCCATCTTGAACTCTCTTTTTCTTGCGTATAACCGGGATCGCGCACAGTTTAAGAACGTTAATGTCCTCACTTTTTCTTCCATCTTCTGGAAGACAACAATGTCAGTGAGGCATGTCAGGAATATATTAGACCTTTCATTCTTAACAAGTTTTCTAAAAAAACTGGGATTTAACAAATTTAAAAACATGTTCACAACTATTATATTCCACCAATAATCTATTAAAGTAGTTAAAGTTCTGATGTAACGTAGAGAACAAAACTCACACTTGGTACTACTTTTGCCCTGGCATGTATTAGTGGATTAGAAAATGAAAGGCTGTGTTAGATCAATCCGTAGAAGGAAGCAGATAAGACTCCATTAGTTAATAGCCTGAACCATACTGTACCAAAATGATGCTTCTTTCTTAAACAAGGTAAAAAGGGAAAGATGCATGAACTGTTCCAATTTTGCATTTAATGCCCTTGAATTACAACTATTTTGGAGATTTTCTTGTTAAATTCCCTGGAAAAATAAGAAGCATTGTTCTGAATCTGACTGGCTACTGGTAACAGAAACAATGGCTTAGCCAATCACTCCCACTGGGGAAGGCAAACAGAATTTGTATTATTTGTGTTATTAAAACTGGTTAATTTCTAACCAATAGCAATTATTGATTATGCAAAACCCATTAACGCAAGGCTGAACACATGCCCAGCAGATATGTGTCAATTTATGTGTTTGCCTACTGGAGCAAACACAATCAGGTTAAAATTATGTCAAGGTTAACTGGTGCAGTCAAACAGCTGAAATCATTAATCAATATGATGGAATCCTTATGGAACAATTGGGCTTTATGCTTGCTAAGAATAATAACTATTGCCATGTGATAAGAGGCATCCTGAATGTCTAATCTCTAGGACTGATGTGTTTGCTGTTGGTGAATTTTGTGAATTCTGCTGTTGAACTAAATCCTTTGTGTAGAAGGGACAGGGGATCTGATGTTGCCTCATGTTGCAGTTATAATCTTGTGCATTCTTGATATATTAAGATAACCCTGAAAAAGCCCTTAAAAACAACAGCAACCATATCCCTATTTTATGATGGTTTTCTTTAATGATTTAACTGCTTTGGTGGTGTGTTTGTGAATTATTTTTAAAAGTTGCTGAAATCAACTGAATTGGGTATAGGGCAAGTGAGAAAAAAAGAGGCACAGAGTGGGAGAAGCAATCAAAGCTTTTCATGTAGGCTGATTAAATAAAAAGTAACTTATCCATCAAAGCACTCCAGAAACTGATGAAAGATCAGATCAAATCCATACAATAAAAAGGAGCATATTAATGTCTACACTATTTCAAACTTCTATCAAGGCTAGACATTTGCACTCTTTAAAGCACACACACATATCCCAAGCACAACCAAAAAACAACAAGACGACGACGTAGAAGAAGAAGACGTAGAAGACAACAACGCTGTAGAAGAAGACGACGATGAAGAAGAAGACAATGAAGAAGACGAAGATGACGATGTAGAAGAGGAGGAGGAGGAGGAGGAAGAGGAAGAAAGGAGCTCACAGCTACAGTTCTATTATGCATTCTGTTATTCTTTTGCCTGTGGTCATTCTGTACATTTCCCAGTCCTTATTTGGATAGATGCTAAGCAAGCCACAATTTGCCTACGTTGGCTCTTTGCCACTGGGACTCCGCGGTTGGGGTAAGTGGCATGGATAGGATAAACAGCCAGCACTAACCAATTTGGTAAATGTATTCTCAAATATCTGAGCACATGGATGCAGTTCTCATGTGGAAACCACACAATTAGGCGCCAGGGCACTGTGGCCATCTGAAAAACATACAAGATGCTCAGGGCTCCTCAGAGTGAGGAGTGAGGTTTAACTGAAAACAAAATGCACACCAAGCTCACTTTTGTATGACATAAGGTATTTATCATGTTACAAAATAATCCGAAGGAGAGCTAATAAAACAAAGTGAAAATTCTCCAACAACACTGAAACCAAGAAAAGGGAGAGGACAGGGGAGAACATATGAACAAAGAAGAGAGAAGCTGCATGTGAAAGAAGAAACAGCCGGCTGCTTACCTGTTCCCTTAGTACCGTATGGCAGCTCATAGATCGAGGGGGTCTTCACCCAGAAGTAATCCTTTAGTTGTAAAAAGAGTGGATGATCCCTGGTGTAACTGCAAGGAAGTCACAGGAGACAATAATTTAAATCTGGCATTCTACATATTCACAGATCACAGCCAGCTTCCGATCAACCCTGCCTTCCCATTTTGGGAAAGCAGTGCTCTTTTGACCACCCCATTCTGGCTGTCCCCAGGCCCAGGGCAACTGAACAGAAAGGATCCACAAAGGTTGCATTCCCTCAGCCTCAGATAACCCGGATACTTACTTTGCTATGAGCTGTGCAGCTTTCCTTTCCACATCTCCCAGAGGACAAGTCATCTTGTCATTTTGAAAATGGAAAGCAAAACTGTAAGACAAATGGCAAAGGGGGAGGGAAAGTGTGGTTGTTGTTGATTCCTAACCCATGTTGCAACACTCTAGTGTTTTATCTTCAGCTGTGGCCAAGTCAGACAGCCCTGGATACTCTGAGCAGATGCTCAGTGGAAGGACATCCTGAGCATCAGAGCAGAGATATTTGCCTCCTTCTAATGTTTTCTGGCAGAAGAGGGATTGTTTTGCTTTCTTTTTCTTTGAATTGCTCTCCAGGGTTTCAGGCAGGAATTTTTCCTCCCCTGTATGGAGATGCTGGAGAGCAGACCTGGGACCTCATGCAGGACAAGCATCTGACAGCCTCTCCCCTAAGTAATTTTTAGCTATGTTTTCTTTACTGTTGTAAATTAGCCCAGAAATGGTCACTGGAGGACTCAGAGAAAGAAATAAATCAATTGAATCTTTTGCTCTTTGGGTGACACAGAGATCCAGTACTGTGACATGGAAGGAACTCATATCTCCCAGTGGAAAACCCACACAATGACCAGAGAGCCAGAGCCCCCCTGTTATTAGCTATCTGGGAAAATTTGTTCCAAAGACATATTCAAACCATCAAGCTTAATCTAAATAAACTGATTAAAGAGCTCACTCAGGATTTAGACAGATGAGTATCCTTAAAGCGGACCTTATGGGGCACGGTTCAGCTTCAAGATGAATACTGTACCTTATATTGCTTTTCTCATACATTCCTCTATATCTGGCAAATACTTTAAAAATCTTAATTCTCTCTTTAATAATTGTTCAGGGCTTTCTATCCATCACAATTATCTTTGAAAACCATGCAACTTCCAATTAAAAATGGTAGGCTTGGTTTTCTGGATCTTGCTTCATAGCACTGGGATAAATTTTGCTCTTTTCTGATTAGATCAAGTTTTCCACTAAGGTCAGTTTCAGAATCGTCTTGTCTAGGCAATCTTTCCCTTCATGTAAGGCATTGGGCTCTTAGCATACTCAAATGGGCTCTCCCCACAGTTTCTACCATTTGAGCTGGGTGCTGCATGTCAGGCAAAGTAGATTTCAATCCAGTTCTAATGCTAAATTGACATTGAGGGGACATCCATATTTAAACATTGGCTTTTCTTCTCATTTTTTCTATGCGCCTCCGCCACTGCCTCCTCCTCCTCCTCCTTCTTTGTATTTCTAACATTAATACTAGTATTATTATTTTGGTGGCACATATTTGTCTTGGATCACCTGGTGGGTCAGAGTTTTTGTCATTCTCTGTTTTGCATGCTAAATGTGATCGGCCAGCTACAGATAAAAGCAATACTTGTAATTTCAGATTTTTTTTTTAGTAATGAGTTCAGGCTTTGTTGCTTTTACAGCATCAGAATCTCTGTCATTATTGCAAGCACTTGTTGAGACTTAGATCTTTTTTCCATTTTCTTTTTTCCCTTTGTCAAAATAAAGATAAACAAACATTTTTTAAAAAATCATAAAACCATGGATATCAAAGAACTGGAAGCAATAAAATCATCACCATTTATCCTGGGAAGTTTTGTGATTGGCTCTGAAAAGGTAACAAAGTAGGCATCAGGAAGGCCTTCCTATGGAGAAAAGGGGCCACCACCATTAAGCAGGTCGTGTCCCCTGTTATTACCTGCTTCACTTCTGCTTATGAGTGTATAGCCATCACCACCTGATTCTCATGTGGCATCCAGAGGTCCAAAAGTTCCAAGCCACACACAGCGTCAAACATAAGCACTTTGAACTTAGGAAGCAAGTAAGACATGTTCCCTCCCACAGATCCTGGTCAAAAGTTTTGGAAATGTATTTTGAATTAATTGGAATTTTGAGTTACTTGGAATTAAATAATGTCTACCTGATTCAGATAACAAAACAGCCTTAGAATCGGGAAAAATCAATGACCTTCTTATGCCCACTTAATTTTCTTTTAAAGAAATACACTCACAGCTGCATGTACCTTTCTTCTCTGGATACTGTATACCACACCATGACAAAAAATATAGCCAGTAGCCCAAGTATTTTCCATCCTGAGGAAAGAGAGGAGAGGTTAAGCTATTCAGATGTATCTGCAAAAGAAAGAAATATACTGGAATGCAAATAGGCAGGGAACTATGTTCAATATGAGCTAAGCCTTACTAGAACTCAGCTCTGGGGCCTCTTTAATAGCAACCTTAATTTAATTCTTTTGCACATCTGATGTAATGACTTAACTTACCTCTGACTGAGCAGGTACTGAATGGAAAAATCATGTACCCCAGTGAAACTTACGAATATAGGAATAAAAGGACATGCATATATGTGCATGTAAGTGTGTTTGTGTGCGTGATTTACAGTAACACTCAAATGAATGAACACTCCCATAAATTTCAATCGAATTGTTGTTGTTAGTTGCTAAGTCATGTCCAACCCATCATGACCCCATGGACAACATTCCTCCAGGCCTTCTTGTCCTCCACCATCCCCCGGAGTCCACTTAAGCTCACGCCGACTGCTTCAGTGACTTCAGGAAAGCAAGCAAGCAAGCAAACCAACCCAGGCAGGATCATGGTGCAAGCCAAAGAATTTTGGGAATCAGCAGAATTCTTTCTGTCTAGGCACATCTAAGTCAAAACCCTCAGCATTATATTGGTGTCCTAAAGATCCTGAAGGTACATCATGTAGCTTCCAAGTTCATAATGCTTTAATGAAAGCTACCAGGCCATTGTTAGAATGCCTATAAGATTTTCTTTCTAAATAATCCAAGCATCCATCTAGTCCGGCACCTTGACCACAACCGATCAGATGCTTTCAGGAAGCTTCGCTCAGGGCCTAAAGACACCTCTCCCGCTCTCATCCACTCTCACAGAAACACTTCAGAATCAAACTAGCCTCAAAAGATAAATGCCCTTAATACTCAGCCCTGTGAAGTAAATTTTGCCACCACCAATTAATCCACTCAACTGTGCACACAACGGACATGTGGCAGCGACTCTCTTCTCCTTTGTTCCTCATTTGGTGGGAGAGGCAATGCCCTTTTCTAACAATGGAGAAATGTGAGTGAACTGCTGTGGACATGGAAGGGTAGATGAACTCCATCCGTGACACAAACGTGTCCTCTCATCTTTGTGGCACTACGGGGATTCAGCTCTGGCTGGAAAATGCATTTGATGGTTAACAGGAGGAATTGCTTTTATGGAGCGGCTGGAAGATGCAGATGTGGATTCATTACACTGCGTGTACATTCCACCTTTTTTCCTCTTGCAACCCAAAAGGCAGCTTACAGGGTTCTCCTACACAGTAATTTTTATCCTCGCAACACATCCGCCTGTAAAGTAGATTAGGCTGAGAGTGAATGGCCCAAGTCACCCAGTGGGTTAGTTTCACGGTCTACAGGGGACCAGAACTAACCCATATTCCTCATAAGAAAGATTTCTGCTGTTACAAAAAGCACCTGAAATGACCATTTCAACCCAGGAAAATAGTTTAAATTGTACCCTACTAAAAAGTAACTTATGTTGGTTGTTTCCAGAATCCCAGTGTTCCCCTGCCCAAGCTTAGGTGATATTCTCCCATTGGCTAAATAAATAAATATTGTAGCCCCAATGCATATGCATCAGAAAATAATGGGAACCTTCATTTAAAAAAAAATCAGCATGTTTTCCTTGAGATTTTACAATCCACCCCACTTTGCATGTGTTTGCATCCACCTCATGCAAACGCACAATGAAATGCTATGCATAATTACTCGGCAGGAAATTCCAGAGTGATTCTGTGGGACTTACTTATTAGTAACTGTATTAATCTAATTCTTTTGCATCTCGTCCTCCAGGCAGCACATGGCTCCCTATTTTCAGATCATTAGGAAGATAAACATGGGAAGGGAAGAAGAACATTGGCTGGACTTACGAGACTTGTTGATCATTTTTATCAGCAGGTGAAGACCCATCCGGTGGCTTTTGCTCTCATGGCGACTGCTATTGGTTACCTAGAAAAGAAAGGAGGTGCTATTGCAGGCAAAACCTGGGTTGGAACACATCAGGACTGCTTCTTCACTTGCAACAGGTAGGTTACAAGGGAACAAATGGACAGCAGCAGTCCATTGCAGATGCCAGGAAAAATCTCTGAATGTACAAAATGGGACCATGTTCAAAGGGGCCTATTTTAAAGGTTGTATCAACCTGAAACAGTGTTTTGTTTTGTTTTATTTTATTTAAAACTTCTATATGCTGTCCCTTATGCATGGCATCTTGGGATAGCTCACAATCAGTAAATTCAATACATTAAAAACAATCTAAACAATAAATAACCAATAAAATGCGACTGTTGCATTAAAATACTAATTTTTTTAAAAAATAACGGTTCAATAAAAAGGTTTTGACCTGGTGCCGAAAATAGTATAAACTCGGCACCAGGTGAGCCTCTCTGGGGAGCGCATTCCACAATCCAATACCAATAACAAAAAAGCACACTAAATTAATGCAGTTGTTTCCCAGGGCTTCAGGTGTTTTGCCGCTGCTGCTGCTGGTTCTTATCCTACATCGGTACTACAGATGGGACAGACTCTTCTTATTTCCATTTGTAATGCAGAATTAAAAGCAGCAGCACATTTCATTTAAAAGAAAAAAGTTAATCACTGTGATTTCAATGACTCCTAGATGTGTTTAGCTTTTTCTGAATTGTGCCTTAGTTAAGGATAAAAATAAATATGCATTCCATCAACATTCATGTAAAATCAGATAGACATTGATGCAGGTTCACTGAAATTTGTGTCAATTGAACTAGGAATTTAGCTTATCAAGAACTAGGAATTTAGCTTATCAAGAACTGAATGATCAAATAGACACCCAGCCTTTAAATAACGTATTTCAGTTACACTTTAATCAAAACATTATTAATTTCTATTCTGTTTTATTTGTATAGCCCTTTATTTATCTAATGGCAGATTTGCACAATCTTATAAAGATCATGTTTTTCTGTCTGTATCACTGCTGGGTAAACATGAGTGTGGAATGCGCTTCCATGAGAGGTCGCTGAGGCCCCATCGGTGCGGATGTTCAAGGATAGGCTGGACGTCCACATGGTGGGCATGTCGTGAGCAGAGCCGGCTGGTGCCGGAGGTCAGACTAGATGGCCCGGGAGGCCCCTTCTGACTCGCTCTGTTTCTATGTTTCTGCATAAGCAATTAAGTTTTAGTCCTTCCCCAAATGAACTTTAGGTGTCAAGGTCAACATTTTAAGTCTTAACATTTAGGAAAACAGCTCAGATCAGTAGGTACTTTCATTTTAAAAGGTACATCCTGCTCTATAACAAAGACACAGATTTCTCACATCATCATTTAATGAACTTCCTAGATAGATATAAAAGAACAATATGTTTTTAAAAAGTCACAAGAACTATGACAAAGCTAATATCCAAGTTAAAAACACTACTCTGTAAAGCCTGGGATCTTTAAAAGATTTTAATCCTGAAAAGAGGAAAACTTGGAGCCAAGCTTTCAAAATTGTTATATAAAATATATATAGTAAAGAGGAAAAATACATATTTATTTATTCATAGGTCAATGAATAACCTGAGAGGGCTCTGTTAAAAAATCTGCCATTGTTTCTCAAAACAGTGCTTACACATGCTGGGAAAAGTATAATAAATGAAAATGTGATAACCAAGAACTGTTTTCTACAACAGAAGGAAAATGCTCTATTCTCAAATAGCTAAGCATTTACACAGAAGAAAAGCATTGCATGCTGCCTTAATCTCAGGTCATTTGGCCAATTCTTTCTACAGCAGTTTTGGAAATGCCAGGGTCTTTTTTCATGGGTCAGGTTCTGGTCATGCTTGAGTCTAGTTTTCTAGCCCTTCCCAACATGGTGACATCCAGCTGAATTGCATTAAAACAACTTTCCTTTCCTAGCCTGCATGCCAAATAGCTGAACCTGAGCATGTTTCAGACTTAAGCGTGACTAACATCGTTTAGATCTAATCCACAATCTATAAAGTACTGAGCCTATTTACACAAGAATTATGCCATCAAGAAGAAGTTATGAAACATCTTAGGTGAACCACATTCATTTAAACAACTAGCACCTTGCTATTTACACAGAACTTCAGACTGAAAGGACTAGTCATAACTTCTAACAATAACTATTGTGAGTTGTTCGGTGTTGCAGTACTTATCCATTTACTTAGGTGCACGAAATCAGAATCTAAAAGCAAGGCTTGTGCTGTTAGCTTACTTCACCTGTGTACATCCCACCTTTCTGTGCGAGAACGCAAGGTGCGTCTCATGGGAGCCCCATCTGGTGTTCCTTTCATAAGCTAACCAAAGGCAAGCATGTTCCCGGGAATAAATTCATTTTTCACCTCTTCTACTTTTTTGTCTCCAGTGGAGCTCAGGGCATCCCACTATACAAACATTTGAGGCCTTCACAGGATAAATGGGATGGTCTCCCTATGACTGGCACCACAGTCCGCATCACCAGCTTTTCCCTACTTCAGTTTAAAGAAGCAGTCTCAGTACCAAAGTATGCAGAACACAGAATTTGCAACTGGATGGCAACAGGAGCAAATGAATAAAGGGATGACAAAAAGTGGCAGACAGCTGGTGCTGTTTTATTTTTTAGTCCTATGAAGAGAATTTGGAAGACAAGCAATCTGGAGCATGCTCTGCTAAAAACAGCACAGCAGTCTCAAGAAAGAATGAAATATGGGGTCCCTCTAGTCCATCTTCTGTGATTTGTTCCCACAGTGGCCAAGCAGCTGCCCTGGAGAAACACACAAGCAGGACATGAGGGCTTGCAGCATCTGCAGACCCACGTTCCCCACTGACTGGTACACAGAGGCATATTGCCTCTGACACTGGCGGAAGCATGCGGCCAACAGGACTAGTAGCCAGCAAGAGCCTTCACCTCTGTGCATTTATCCAATCCCCTTTTAAAGCCTTCCAAACTGGTGGCCAGCACCTGTGGAGAAAGAATGTGAATTGTACTATGGTCCAGCTGGTAAATGTAAGATCACATTCTGATCCTCCACATGCTTTTCCTAAGTGAATGCACAGCTGGATAACTCTATCAGAAAACACAGTTGGATACCAGCTACCACCTCATATTTGAGGGTGTTCATAGCACAGCAGAAACTTCATGAACAATGAAAAGGTTTATATTTAGGGGTAGGGGAGGAAGGACACATGCTTAACTCCTAAAAAGGAGCCAGTCTATACTCAGAGGTGTCCAGTACTCACAAACAGAGACTACAGATGTGTTACTTAGATAGGTTAGGTATGCTACTGGTCAAGCAAAGAGGCCTACAACCACATCAGTTTTGTTGTGCCTTGGGCTCTTCCTTTTTGCTTGCGTGTGTCCCCATTGCATATCAATATCAGTTACACGGCTGGTTTTGCTAAAGTGGAGCTATAGCTTTCCATGAGTCATAGCATGACGTATCTCAATAGCTGTCATATCTCAATGAATCTCATCATACCGCTTCACCTAACACTGTTTAGATAAGCAAAAGGATTGATTATGAAGACAGCTTGTTTCCCTCTTACACTGTTATCTTTGGATGAGGCTGACAGTCAAGGGTGGATTTCTGTCTGCAAGCAGAAAAATCTAACATTACAGATAAATGTGTTGCGAGCAGCAGAAGCTTGGGGCAAGCGGGAGCACCTGATCTTCTCAGGGCGTACTAGAAGAGGAAGAAACAACTGAGGGAGCTTGGGAATAGCCCCACAAATTTGCCAGAAAGTGAATAGACAGGTCTGACAGGCAGGCCTCACATGCTCCCTCTTTTCTTTTGTTGTTTGGTCTTCTAAATAGGATTAATTTGTCATGTAATGTGGGAGATACTGCAATTCCAGTGACAGTCCCTCAGGATATGTAAAATCCATTCCATGAAATCCCCTTGCATCATTGTCATGCCTGTGAAGCATCTCTTTTATTCCTCTATTTAAAACTTCTGCATTCCATCTTACAACATACTTTTCAAATCAACATTTTAAAAGCCCTATCAATTAACATTAATTGAAAGCAGTATCACTTCAAGAATAACTGGAATCCATGAAAAATGATACAGTTGGGGAAATAAAGGTGTTTTAACCCAGTGCCTAAGAGAGATCTACTTTACTGGCAGGAGAGCTGATAAGGGGAGTGTGTTACACAGCTGAGATGTCGCCACCAAAACGGATACCCACTGCATCTTTAGTCAGGCACACAAAGTCAGGCTTTGGATACTGATCTTTAAATACGCAGGCAGGTTAATGTGGGAATAACACGTCCTGTGCATTGAAGGCCTTCAAATGGCAGTCTGACCACTACACTGGCATCTCCTTCTTGGCTTGGCTGAAGACTTAGACCCAGGAGTTCAGGCTGGACCACCTCCCTGAGCCAAGCAGACCTCACAGATGATTTCTCCCTTTTCGTGTCTTTTAACCACGGTTGCTCTTTGTCTGCACTCAGAGCTGAGTATACAAGTCGATCACATGAAGCTCCTATCAGTCCTTTTGTTCACATACATTCCTTTTAAAACTGAATGTTAAGGACACAGCCCTTCTCTGCTGAACAGATCAAGTTGGAGTCTTGGTTTCAACAAGAGAAAATGTCCACAATGAAATTTCAAAACGTGCAAAAACACGCTTGTGCAAATCGCAATGCAACCGGTGGACGTGAGGATCACACAGGCATAAGCAAAGCGGAAGCAGACTTGTAAGAACCTCTTCTGAAAGAGGGGAGGGAAGGGGAGACCTGAGTTGTTCCCAGCTCCTTCAGCAAACTACATCATGGGACAATACGGGAGGTTTTCATCCCTATAGGAAATCATGCCAAGTGTAGAAGCAGAACCTCGGGAAGAGGGTTGGCTCTTAAAACAAAACAAACCCAAATCAAACACATACATTCAGACTTCCAGGATGGCAACCAACAGAGTTTGCGAACTGAAGCAGCTGATATCAGGGATCAAAGTCCCAGAATCCAAACAATTATCCGCACACAGACTCTT